GATTTCAATCACACTCCCAGTCACAACACCATGACTGATGTTTGCCACTAAGTTTAAACCATGAAATGTGTCCTGCTAGCAAAATGGCTCCACCTGTTAAAATTCAGTCCATTAGTTACATTATTATTTATATAGTTTATACTCTGTATCTATCTATCTATCGAGTCTGTACCTGAATAATCATTGTAAAAATAAATCACACAACTTACAAGGCCTAGGAAAAATGTTGTGTTTCCTGTTTCAGTATTGAAAATTAGGGTCGGTAGGTGGGGATTATCTTGTTTTCTCTTTGTTTCTTAGCCTAAAAATAGCAATCTCTAGTGGTGCAACTTGTAATCTAACTTATACAAAACAATTTAATTACAAAGTAAAACTTGCATAATAAAGGACACTTTAAATGTCAAAGTTGGTAAACCGTTACACCTATTTCCAAAAATGAATTTCGAGCCCTGCTTACATGTACAAGTAGGTGTCAGAAAGATTCATGGCGTTTGAAATCCTTCCCCCCCCCCACCCAATTTGTTGAATTCTATGCAGGTATCCCAATACATCTTTTCTCTATCTTCTTGAATGCTACATGTAGCCTATTTTTTTTAAAGTCGACCTGTATTTGCTTTGTTCACCACAAATAATACACATTGCAAACTATCTGCTGGAGTCCAACCCAAAATATTATCATTTTGAGTAAACTTTCATCAAAACCCACCTACATGCCTCATATCAAGACAATATATGATTATGAATATTTACATGTATGCATGTAATCCTTGTCAATCATGTTTACACTGAAATGAACTAGAAAGGATGGCATTTGCTCTGGAGCAAATGCAGCAAATGGCTTCACCACATCACCCGTACCAAAAATGGACCTGTCCACCTCCGGCACAAACAGCCCTGTCCAATATAAAAACAGCTAATATCATTAAGTGAACAGCCAATCAGAAACCACATCTATAATCAGAGATACCTGCTCCTGTCTGCACATATTTGGGCATGGACCTCCTGTCCACATCCCCAACAAGAATTCTGAGATTTCATACCTCCCTGAATATATGAGTTTTTGTTTTTGTCTCATTGACTATGGAAATAAGGTCGTAATTAGCACAATCTAGTTCAATTCATGGTTTTCTAAATTCAAATTACAATATTTTAATGTAAAATTCCTTTCCTTTGTCATACTTTATTTCAACACGTCCTCATTAATTATGCAAATGACCTCTACATTAACATAATATAGGCAGTGATGTTAACCTTTAAGTAACTTACACATGTCACAAGGTATAAAATTCCCATCATTCACCAATAAGAAGTCACAGAATTTTCCCATTAATTATGCAAATTAGGTCATCATTTGCATAATTGGTATCTTGTGATGTTCCATCTGCCATAAATTACATACATTACACGTATGAAAGTACTATTATATAAAACACTGTACTTATAGAATATTCTCATTAATTATGCAAATTAAGCCCTCATTTGCATAATTTGCATTTAATTAAGTACAACTCTCTCTCAGCTACCTACACACCAAAAATGATGAAAATATGTTGTTCCTATCTGGACTTATTGGCTTTTAAACATTTCGCCCGAAGGTCCCCTGCAGTTCCAGAACAAGCTGCTAGGGGGACCAAACTTACACCGCTTATTCCTGACAGGATAAGCTATCTGTCCCCAAAAAATTAAGACCATAGCATGTTCAGGACAAAAGATTCAAAAACTGGAAGTTCTGCTGCAGTACCAAGGTCGGCCACCAGGAGGCCCATATTTGACCTTGACCTTTGTCTTCCTAAGACCTACCAAGGTACCAAATATCATCACAATCCATAAAGGCATTCTGAAGTTATTGTGCGGAAGCACAGACACACACACACACACACAGACGCGCCAAAAACAATACCTCCATTTTTCATGGAGGTAAATATGGTCACACTCAAAATATGGTAACACACACTGATATATATATATATATATATGTGTGTGTGTGTGTGTGTGTGTGTGTGTGTGTGTGTACATTTTCCTATAACAAAATGCCCAAATAAAACTATTCTAAAAGCCTGCATCAAGAAAATGAAAAAAAACAATGCCTGGGGGTATTTGGCAACTCTACCTTCATGCCAAATTTTATGTTACTTGGCCCAAAAATGAAGAAATTGAATGCATTTAACGAAATGGCAGGAGGAGGAGGAGTACAAAAACAATGAGGGAAAACAATATGTTTAGAGAGAAGTGAACTTTGAAACTTTAAGAACTCTAAAAATCTAGTCGTAGTACATACCTTTTAATCATTAATCATTTGGTTGACTGTATCATCTTCAGATAAAAATATTTCACTGTAATACCAGCACTGGCCACTTGGGGGCTCATAATGATTATTAAACTTGTCCTCAATGTTTTGGTGACATCTTATCTACATCATCTGTACCACCCTACCAAATATCACTGTCAACATTCCTCTCAGGCATTTTTAAGTTGAACACACAAAATTATACAATGTTACCAAAATATACCCTCCTAACGCTAGCAGTAATAAACTTTTCTTCCCCAGTGCTATGTACTGATAACAGTATACTTGACTTCTGCAAGTGTACATTCCTCCGAACTTACATTTATTTCATTTTATTTTATTTTATTGTACTTACATGTATATATTATTTATTATGACTGATCTTCTACATATGTTAAAACTTAAGTGATATAAGGTTTGTACGACGTAAGATTGTCATAGTTTGTACGATTGTAAAATTGTAAAAAAAAAAACTAATTTTCGAACCAAAGTGATATATTAATATGTAGATTCCAATATGATTGTAATCTGTATTTCCCTACTATTAATAATCTATATTGTAAACAACTTGATCAGAATTCAGCCCTGTATGTCAAGGCTGCAAGATATGTTGTTGATATGTTGATACAAATAAATAAACCAATAAATTAATGTATGCTCCTTTTTTCATTTGGTACTTAACTACATTTCTATATGCAAGATGTTTGAACATTTATCAAATCTTGCTTTAAATAAGCATCATGAAACAGAAGTTGGAAATTGGTTGACTAATCAAGACAAATCATCTACCAAAGTGCCACTTCACCTGCTTTTAAATTTGATATTTAATTTAAATTTTAATTTGATATTTAATTTAAATTCTATATATGGCCTGTCCTTGTGAACAAACATACATACATACATACATACAAGCATATAAATATGCATATAAATTGACAGCAGGAAAGTTCAAAGAGGAAGTGAAAGTTTGAATCTTCCTTATGAAACACCTGATATCACTTCCACTTTAACTGTGAAAAGTCCTAATGAGTAATGTGTCTAGTACAGAAGGAAGTAAAGCAACACCTCCTTGATTGCACCATGCATGCATAACTCTGACAGGAGACTCCAACAACATATACATCATACATATACTCTGTACGTAAGATAACGTTATCCACACATATATTTAGCTTTGTTAGATCTTTAGTTAAGTTGTAGAAGACCATACAAAAGTCTCTGTACTTTTTTGTTGTGTCAATAAAGAATCTCTGTATAACTCTGTTCAACAACATTACTTACAATTTGTATCTTGTACTCTTTTTTATATGCACATTTATAAGGCCACACTGATTTAATCTTATGGATGGCGTCTACGTGCACCTTGATTTTCTCAAGAAAAAAATCACCTCCAAGGCTCTGGCGCCCGGAGGACGGTACCCAGGCTCCACGGAACTCAAGAACTCAAGTACAGTACCGCAAAAGGCCAGCATGTGCTGGTTTGTCGTAAAAGTTGTCATTTTTCCGTAAATAATTTCATCAGGTTGGAAGATACTTAGGGTATAGAGTTTTCTTCTTACACAACCGGGACGAGGGGGAATACAAGCTCAGCCACATTTGGGATTGCATTCTCGCCGCAAAAGCGCCACCTACATTGGCGTTAAATAGCGGCGAGTTGCAGAACTCCAGTCAGAAGCTCTGAGGAAGGTGTCTGATAGACATCGAAACGTAAGCAGGTGAGAAACTCTATGGTTGTGTAAGAAGAAAACTCTATACCAAAAGTTGTCATGTTCTACTACTATTGCAAATTCACAATACCAGCTTTGTAATGTTTCCTGTAGTTTAGCAGCAGGATTTTTTGGCCAGAATTTTTTTTATTCACCCGCGTGCACTAGTTTGGGGGTCTCCAGAGGATGTCATCCATAAAATGAAGTCAGTGTGGCCTAACAACATAATAATGGTTGACATGCTGGGGACACCCCTCCCCTAATGTAAACTCATCTGTGTAATGTGTGTGTGCACCAAAGAGGACCACTCCCTGTACAAGTACTGCACCTGTTACAGGTGGATGGTTACTACATGGGCAGTTCTAATTCCTCTTTGTGCTACATTCAGAAAGGATATCTGAAGTATAGGGCTCTATCTGCTTACGAATTGAATCACAGAAAAAAAATGTATACATGTACGATTTTGGGGGAAAAGGCAAAATTTGTTTCTGTCGACCTTACTCCTTATGTTATTTTAAAAAAAATTCAATTTGTTTGATACGGATTAGTTCCTGCGATGTTGTGTCCAGCGGCAGCCATGGTTGTTTGACACGGCCAGCTCTGGCCAAGGGTGACCTCACAACTAAACTTGCTGAGAAAACAAGTTTGACCACAACTGGCAGACAGAAAGTTTGCAGAACACTTGGCAGGCTCGTGTGTGTCGTAATTTACGTACATGAACTGGGACATATTTCTTCCTGGTGTTTTTCCAAAGCTTTTAGTCCAACCTACTAACTTGATAGAGTTGTTTAGACTGTGTGTGACGTTAACGTCCCCATCCCTGATCCTTTTACAAATCTTAGCTTGCCAATTAACGTTATATGTTAGACTACTAACGTTACTTCTTATCCGAACAGCCTCACTTCCTCGTGAACCCTGAGAAAAAAAGGAGAGATTTAAAATATCTTAAAGGAGAGAGTCTCTCTTGTCTATAGTATTTCTTGAGTATGTGCGAGAAAAAAACATACCGCGAGAAACTCTTCGTATTCGATGGTGCCATTTTTGTCCTTATCGAGTTCTGCCGTGAGCTCTCGGATCTTGTATCCGGGCAGGTCTTCCCCCACGGCCCGGAACAGCGCGCCCAGCTCACTGGTGGAGATCGACCCGCTGCCATCCAAGTCGATCTCGTTAAAGCTTTGTCGGATGTCATCCATCATGTCTGGCTGGAAGACGGAGAAGCGGTTACTCAGGTCGCTGGACATTGTTGGTGTGGTGCAGTTCTCCGGACAGGGCGAGGCTAACGTTAGTTCCTGCTGACCAGCGGGACGCCAGGTCTTCTGCTGCAGACCTCTTCAACCAAAACGAGGCTGAGGGACAGGGGTCAAAAGCAGTAACTCCGCGGAGCCTGTTCCACCAGCTGGTGCCTGTCATAGCTGTTCCTATTCCTCCAGCCAGCTGGTGTCCCTGTCCTACACAGCACTATACAGCCAGCTGGTGGAGTGTGCCTTCTCTACAGCCTGTTCTTGTTCCTAAAGCCACTGGTTTGTCTGTTCTACACTACTTGACCCTCCCCCTCATAATGATTAGCTGCTCCTAAAATGGTTTGTTTCAGCATGAAGGTAGAATTTTTCTACCTCCATGGTTTCAGCATAGAGGTAGAATTTCTACCTCCATGGTTTCAGTTGGACTTCTAGCTCACTCCAGTAACGTTACATGTACGTATATGGTGAGTAAAGTCTGTGATACATGATGTATTCAGTAACTGTTGTGATATAACTGTGTCAGTGGTATATTTTTATACATAGTATGATACCATCTTTCACCCAAATCTGGACATTCATCCTGGAAAATTAGAAATGAATGACAGTCACATGATCAGAGAAACAATGAGGAGCAGTCCTACCTGACTGTAAAGACAGCTACTCTACTCTCTACTAAACTCTAAATGTACTAATTCTATGTTAGCCTCCTTCGCAGACATGTAACGTTAGGGTCCAACTAGGAGGCTCTGCATGCCCTCTTTTGTTAAGCGTTATGGGCTATTTTATTCACCGTTAATCGTTGCCAGCCCACTCTCATTCAACGTTAAGCGTTATCGGTATATTCCTCGTGAAGCGTTATTGGTCATTTTAATTCTACGTAAAGCGTTATTTGTCATCCTAAATTCAGCGTTGAGCGTTACTGAATAATTCTTCGTTACGCATAGACCTGTGTACTAGTAGTCAAGCCTCAAGAAGCGGTCACTTTGCCTCTCAAAATGCAGGAAAATGCGTTCTTGAAGGTTTAAAAATGCAAAATTTCCCAGGGGAGCATACCTCCGGACCCCCCTACATTGCTCGCGCCTGCTGCGCTCGGTCCCCCTCTTCAACAGTTCAAGCATTTGTAGGCGCACACAGGTAGCCTCTACCAGGCTTGAGGGCGCGGCTGGAAATAGTAGAAATTAGCCAAATAGAGAGATATAACACGCCGAGGGAGTTTAGCCATCCAGTTTACAGTTTGTGG